TCGGATGATAACATTTCCAACCCTTTTGCAACTTGCCACTGTTCATTAACACACTCGAAATGTTTTATGACAAATTTGTGATTTGATCATTTATATGTGCCATGATGATGTCAAATCACGCTCATGTATGGGCACGTCACATAATATCGTATAAAACTGGGTAGTGTACATTCAGAGGTTTACTATGTACCGTAGTACAGTATTGAGTATTATTATACATACAGATAAAGTGTCATCAGCCGTTGACATTAAAAGTAATCTAATTTTATCGCATTCCACTACTGTGTATAGGCCTACATCACTGTGTTAAAAAAATTGTATGATCTGTATTCAGTTGTAACAAAATTATTTAACTGCATCATCTTATTCTAGCAATTAGATCACAATATACACTTTTTTTTTTTATAAAAACACATTTTATAAGAACACTGAGGCTGAGATTGCTAAAAAAATAAGAACAAAAATAAAGGCTCGGTAAAATGTCGAATGAGTTTTTCTTGCAGTAGAACCTCATTTTTACGTACCTTAGTTATACGAACCCTCAGTTTTACGTACGCCTCGTACCGATGATGACGTCATCTAAACCCTCAAAATATTTAAAACAAACGGCCCTTTTCAGGGCCATCATAATGTATAAAGAGATTTGTTACTTCTGTCTGCTTATTGTTTACTTATAACAATAAACAAACCCTATGCAAAGTATTTGCGTTCAACAGCAATGTTGCTATTGTAATCTAAAGCTGCCTGGACTTGAGCGAGATGAACCGACGGTACTCAAAATAATTTCTTTCCTACTTCGCTTTGTTCGGAAAACTCCTTTGACAAAATTTTCTACATGAAGTAATACCAGGGAACAGTAAAATTTTAACTTGTCTGAGTTTACTGAGCTGGGTAGGAATAATTTCGTGCATAAATGCTAATTGGTTGGCTTTCCCAGTGCATACAGTGCACATGGTTTTACTGTAGTTTGTCTCATCAGGCCCAGACAACACCGTAGCTCTGTTGTTTGGAGTATTCATGAAGGGGAATTCCCAAGTTATACCTTTGTCGTATAGGTAATCTTACAACATTTTCATGTTCTTTAGTTAAATAAAAGATATAAAGTGATGAATTAACACACTAGACACATGGTTTTATTTAACACTTTATTATGACATCGTAAAGTGATAGATAAAAACACTAAACAAATGGATTTATTTTTCTGGCCTAGGTAACATCGTTCGTTCATAACATACATTTATTGAGTGTTAAGTACGTATTAGGTCAACGGTCACCACAAGTGTATCCAAACCTTAATTTTACGAATACCCAGATTTACATACACTCTCCAGCACCATACTGTATGTAAAATTGAGGTTCTAGTATTAAAAACACATGAAAAACCAACAAATCAAGCTACAGTAGTCGCATACAGTAACGGCAGTAACTGTGACTATGTTACCCTCTATGATACCATAATGTATTGCTATAACAATAATTTTCTATCTTTGAAAAGTATGTGAAAAATAAGAACATTTTGGGCCTGTTTAAAATTGGCCAAAAAATAAGAAAACTAAGTCTGGGGAAATTTTACTGGTTCTTAAAATAAATACAGTGTACTTGTATAATAACCACAGAGTTTGAATTTGATTCCATATGGAATAATGTTGACTTGCCTAATTTCTTCCCATAGGGATAAAATACTGTATTGTAGGTAGAGTTTTTGTAAACACAGTAGACTACATAATGTATTTTAAAATAGAACCTGAATCAAGCTCATTTGAATATATGAATGATGTAGTATTTTTATAATAAGAAAAGGTGACATAAGAAAAATCTAATAATTATATCAAGTTTGTGGGGTTTTTTTTCAAAGAATAATGATACCAATAAAATAATAGATATATGTAGCAATTAATTAATAATGGGGAAGATTTAACATAAACAGTAGTATTATACTGTAGGCCTAAGAGTTCGCACAAAGAGATCAAACCTTCAAAGCATGGATAGTGGACACAACAATCAGTATTGTTGCAGGAAAATATAGAATATTTCCCTTTTTTTCTAAGTGTTTCACAATAAAAAATGGATTGCAAGGCAAATTTGCTGTACACAAGAACTATCAAACACACTACACCTAGGTAGTCTAGACTGGCCCTCTTTCAATAAATTAATCATTGCAGTCTACGCCTAGGCTATGAATGTGTTGTTGTTTCTTCAAGTCATTAAACCCCACTCAAAAGGAGTGAAGCCTCACGCTGTGCGCATTGCTGAATTTATATGGACAAATTTACCAGAAAAAATTTTTCAAGTGGGAGACACTGTGTACCGGTATATCAATTTGGAGAATGTTGAAAATTTTAGAAAAATTGTTTTGAGCTTCAAACATCATTAAAGTTATATATAAATATTATTTGCTTTTGAAATTGGCTGTCCCAGTTTATTAAACACAGTGATAGATTATTAATAAACAAATACAATTTCACAATATCAATCAAGAGGATCTTAACCTTTAACCTCTACAAGAGGATCTTAACCTTTAACCTCTCCACGTAAGCCAATCAAGAGATAATTGAATCGCAAGATGCTACAATGGTTGTTACCTACTTTAGGCCGTTTGTATTATAATCGTTCCATACTTTAACATTGATTTTCTGAATAGAATTCAGCATTATAGTATGGCATATACAATAACAGTTAACAATACCTGTACAGAATTTAATACAATACTATACAGCTCAGGAAAAATACTAATTACCATATAATTTTTTAGTATGTACTTATCTCTGGTAAATTAACTTAGAATGTAATATGCTTACGATCATTTAAAAAAAAAATTGAAATATTTGTGGTCTAAATTAATATTCAACTATGGTACATAATCAATATAATTCATATTTATACTGTTCCTTGAAATTTCATTAAAAATTCAAAATACTATGATAAAACTGTACTACAGGGTCTTCAATTGGCAACCTGCAAGCTAAATATTTTTATTGGCAATGTTGTGAGAACATTCTTTTGGAAGACATGAGTGCAACGGATGATGGACTGTGTCTGTGCTACAGTAGGTCCCCATCTGCCTTAAATGCTTTATGATTCATTTTTAGTGAATGAAATTAAATAAAAAGAAAGAAGAAAAACAAGGAAAAATTATGTAAATTGTCATTGTACAAAAAACGTAATACAAAGTTTTTGTAAATATTAACTCTTTTTGTTTAAAATTGGCTTGTATTATAGTAAAATGTGATGAGACAGGGTAACAATATTTGTTCATATAAATTCTTCATTACTCTGATGAAAAATAATTTATTTTATTTGATTTTTTTATGTCAACGTTACTGTATGGCATAAACATCTGTGAAGTGTAATAAAAAAAAATGCATTTCTTCCGGTTGGCAGGTAAGCTAACACACTGATCATTAACAGTGGGTGGTGGATTTGTAGAAAACATAAAGAAATCCTTGCTTACCGGTAATTGTGAAAGTACACAGCATGACTGTAGGTGTACTGAATTAAACTGTATATTCAATAGAAACCAATGGTTTGAGACCAATTTTTTTTTTATTGTTGGTCAATTAAACTCCCACCTATGTGCAGTACCAGTACTTTCATGCTATTGTGTTAATTCCTACGGAACACATGCTGACTGGCAGTGTACCTATACGACAAAAGTTAAGTTCACACTAGAACCTTAACATCCAGATCAGGAGCTAACTGTAGCTGAACTGTTAATATGCGAGTGAGAACCCCTGATCGGTTTGTTCTAACCGTTCCCAGGAAGTGGATACACTATCGGTTTAGGGAGCATTATTAGTTACCAAGTTGACATCATTTCTATCATTAACAAATCAAACATATACATTTCCAATTTCCAACTTCCTGTACCATTGCCCCACTGTCATTTTCTTAATATCTGGATCGGGGATTTTCTTGTATGAACGCAATGGTAAGAGCTTATATTATTAATCTGAAGCCTGGTACCTATGGTGTATTTGAAAGATAGTCAAAAGTTTTAACTACAAGAAATGTTTAAGCAGGTGATGGCCTTATCCGTATTCTCTCTGTAGCTGAACTAGAAAATATGAGAATTTTTAAATCAATGAATCTAAAAAATGTCCATGTCATCCATGATTATGCAGGACACACCCACTTTTTCTAACACTGGTATCTCGGAAAAAATGTAGTCTGATTGAACTGTGTGACGAAGGTTCCTAAAAACCTAAAGAGTTTAATCAAAACACAAGACTGAAACTTTCAGCACCTCTCCCCTTTTCATTAATTTGGCACATACAGTAATGATTTGGACACATAGACACATACAGTATTTATAGTGCTGTTTTGTTATTCTAATTGGCTGGTAATTTAAAGATAAGGTTGGTAACTTACTTGAGCAGTTCAATGTTTCAATCATGTTTTAAGGGGTTTTCCACATTTCTCTGATCTTAAAATATGGCAGCAGTTTGCTATTTGCTAACTATTATTTCTTTATGTTGTATATTGAAAGTACTCAATGTGTAGGTGTATTTAATCAAACTGTTATGTATTTCAATATAAAATTTCATGTATTTATTTTTTGTTGGTCAATTAAACTCCCACATACTAATACCAGTACTTCCATGATTCTATTGTCCCAAACTCCTACAGAACACATGCTGACAATGTACTTCAATTCTGCAGGCGTGTCTATTTTTTGTTATGGCATTCTACAATGCTATAAGCCTATAAGGCCGTTCAGTGATTAACGGTTTATTCTTTTTAAAAGATTTCATTAGTTCTTCATTCATTCCACCTGTGTATTCATTTCACCCATAAGTTATTTTTTATCATTTATTGGTTCAATAATCATTAATTATGCTTTTGTTAAAAAATATTTAGCCTTTTTCATCTTTAAACTGTCAATCCTTTCATGTATTGTCAACTCTATATAAATCATGTACAGTATTCCCGCATTCTGTGGTTATTGTATTTTATAATTTTTGTTTAAATTTATTAATTATTTTTTAAAAATTTATCTACAGGATGGTGGTTCTTTAGATCTTGTATTAAAAAGAGCAGATAAAATACCAGAAAGGATTCTGGGAAAAGTCACAATAGCTGTAAGTTTATTATAAATGTTCATAAATTATATTTTGCCCACAAATTCCATGTGTGATCGATGGAGTTAACCATATTTATAATTCAAATGTCTGGTAAAATAATACTTTGTATTAAATGTTAAACAAGCAATCAATTTTCGTATTACCTGTTACTTCCTGATGGGAAAATTAATTTTAATTGCAGATGATAGTATCAAAGAACGTATAAGGGTCACAGAACCTACAAGGTGTCCAACATGTCTGACGGGATCCCAAACCAAAGGACCTGCTGGAGCCTCGGTCCGAGTCTTGGAATAAAAAGTCCCTGGTGTAGAGTTCACGGGAAGAGGGGGGAATGCCCTCCCTGCCCTCGCTGGCACCATCACTGAAGGGGACATCCCTATTAAGGGTAAATTCATATAAGGGGACAATTTTTTTTGGCCACAAAGCAAAGGAAATTATATCTTTTATTATTACAGCCAACCTCTATTTGGGGGGACACTTCTTTCATGGATACACTTTTTTTGGTCCCAAAAATGTCCCCTTAATAGGTGTTCGACTGTAGTGTCAGCTACTCCTGGTTGAATAGAGATAGTAGAGGTTCTTTCCGAAAACACTAGTGTTCTATGTTATTGATTGTTTGTTGACATGTCCATCAATTGATTTTGATGATAGTTTAAAATTTAATACTGTAAATGCTATTAAAAATGTAAATGTTATTGATGTTTTTTTGTTGTCAGGTTTTGAGGGGTTTGTCATATTTAAGAGTAAATCACAACATAATGCACAGAGGTAAGATTTTACTAATTGTTTTTTTGGTGAGTGGTGGTAATGATTTGGTGGATATTGACTGTATTTTATTATTAATGATGTCTATGATGACAAGGAAATTCAAAGAAACCACATTAAAATCAAGAAAACAGTTTTTACATTAAATTTCCAGAAAAACCATGGACAAAAGCACATTAAAACATTTTAAATTATAAAAGGCCTATAAAATTTATAGATAATGATAAATGATATCCTAAAAAACCCCTAAATGTTAGATTTTTAACTTCTAAATTTTATTCTTTATCTTATGTAGGTCTTGGTTGATAACTCGATGACAAGCATAACTAGAGTCTTAAGTGGCTGTGTAATATGGTTGTCCCCTGTTAGCCATTTCAGAATAGAAATCATACGCTTACTATAATTAGCAAATATTTTTCTGTTCGTTCTCCCCGAGCAGTGCTCGGATTGATTAGACGGTTTAGTGACATTCACCGTGATTCACTGACCACAGCACGTTCACTACAGTATGTCAAAGATTTAATGCAATGTAATTTGTGTTTTATTATTAATGTGTGTATGTTTGTTTAGGTCAGGTTTTTTATAGTGATAATAACTCATTTATTATAATATTGATATGTTTTTACTAACTGTCATTTTCCCCGAAAAGCTTTTGCAGGATTAACTGATCTGCCTTTGCCAATGGTTTTTTAACACCTATACAGTACACAATTGAAAGAATGAATCAGAACTATACAAACAAAATACAAATGTTAGTACTGCGCAGCTATGATATAGTTTTAATGAACTAAATGCAGGATATTAATTTACTATAAAATGGTTTAATATTGTTAACATTATGAGGGTTACAGTTTTATAATAAATTGTATTATATAATAAATAACTAAACATAATTTGTGTACCCATTCCAAATGAAAAAACAAAATATGATATTAACAATATTTGTTTTTATACTGCTTTATTTCTGTATTGTATTAAAGATAATGTTAAATGATTGCAGCATCATTACAATATCTCCTCTCCCCCTTCCAGTTATTGGATTCATAATGAGAATGTGCCAGTTCTTTTTCTCCCTGAGGAGTATTCCAAATCCTGCTGGAGCAAGGCTGGAGAGCAATGCATCAGACCATTTCCATGTAGTGCCAGAGTCATGATGATTTCATGCTCTGGGGTTCGGGAGAAATAAGTGTAAAAATAACGTGCCTGAAAGGGGATTTGAACCCCAACCTCGAGTTTAAAAGACAGATCCTCAACTGCTTCACTAATCACTTCTACCACTTCTACTCAGTCATCATGAAAATCTACATTTTCTGTGATTGCTACTGTTTTGCTGTAGACATGTACAATATAAGAAATGACAACAACACTTTTATGACTACAGTAACTATAAAATTTAATAGCTTTAGCTTTCGTGGACTTTATCATTAGACTAACACAGCTATACCTTTTATTTATTATGTAGAACGATGTAGGCCTAGTCTTTTTGCATTTTTAGCTTCGTTAGCTTCAAAATTTTGAATAAAAACCTACTTAACATACCCTAATCACATTTTGAACATGGATTTACGTCCGACTCCATTTATCACAGTATTGTACAGTACATTGTGTTGAGAACATATTTTTACAGTAGCATTTCATTTCGTATGGCATTGAATGTATTTAAGTACTGTCACTAATTTGCTGAATGATTTACATGACCTTTAACCCTTTTTGAGGGATTTCCTTGCATACCTGTCACATGGTTTAATTGGTTTATCAATCAATATTCAGTTGTGGTTAAGTATTGTATGTGCTCGTTCACACACAGACAGCAACTGTGTACAACACAGAGTGCACTGAACAGAACATATAGAGAATGTTAATTCAATTCTTGATTTATTTATGGTTTGTGGTGTTATTGATGATGGGAATGGCAATGAAGATGAGAATGAACATAGTGTTTTTTTAATTTCTTTTTTTAAAACCACATTTAAATACTAATCGTCCGTCTTCGGCAAACTTCATCAGTTAATTGACGTGTCATCGCAGGTGTAGTGTGTTGTGGTGCGCCCTCCACCATGTTCTTATGGTCGGAAAATCATTGTTTGAGATAACCAGAATAATTTCTTACAAGAGAATGAACATGAAGGGGATGAGAATGAATATGATGATAAATGGAGATGAAATTAATGATGAGGATGAAAAAGTTGGTAATGATGAGAATGAGAGTGAAGATCGTGAGAATATTTGATAAAAATGACTGATTAGAATGAGAATTAAGAATCATGAGGATGAAAATGATAGAATATGGGGATAATAATAGTGATAATAATTAGATTGATGGTGATAAAATTGATATAGGATGAGGATGATGAGAATAAAAATGATGGTACTGTAAGAATTAAAATAAAGATGAGAATAAAATCTATGAGAATGGATTTATAGTAAGAGATTGATGATGCGGATGAGGATGTTGAGGAAAAGAATGATGATGATGATTACGATGATGATGATCATGATGATGATGATAAAAGTGACAATGAAGGCTGATGAGGATGAGTATGAGTATGGGAGTAATGACATTGAGGATGGCGATGGTGAGAATGATAAAGATAATGGTGATGATCAAGCATAGTGAGAATTAATAGTTATAAATAGGAATTGTGAGAATGTGACTGGAATGGTGATGAAAATTATAAGGATATGAATGAGAAAGATGAGAATGGTGAAGTAGTGAGAAGATAATGTAGTATTAATGACTTATTGAATAAAGTTTGTGGTTTAAAATAAATTTTTTACCAGCCAAATTAAGGTAGGATTTATTGCAAAGAATGGTACATTTTATAAAATAAAATATTTTTCTGTACAAATTTTTATAGTTACCAGCTAATAATTTTATATGTTAGTTTTTAGCAGTTCAAATACTTAGCTGCTTTATTTTAAATAATCCATTTCAAATACTGTATCAGTGACAGTAATAATAATAATAATAATAATAATAATAATAAAGTAAGAACTTATATAGCGCCATTTAAAAAACCGAAGTAATTATCAGTGGCGCTTCATGTTATTGTTGGAATAAGTGCGTTTTGAGTGATTTTTAAAATAAAGCAAAAGATGTTGATTTTTTAATGTGAAGTGGTAGTGCGTTCCAGAGTGTGGCTGCAGCAAATGAAAATGATCTGTGTCCGAAGGTCTTAGTGTTGGTGCGAGGGACAGAAATTAAATTGAGATCAGATGAACGTAGGCAATGGCCAGGCACATATTTGGGAAGAAGTTGATTAATGTATTTATATAGAGACCTATTAAAAGTTTATTATAGCATTATTAGTTGATATTAATATGATTTAATCAAATACTTTAATTTTTATTTTTTGTCACCCAAGATGTAAAACCATCAAACATTCTGGTGAACTCAAGAGGTGAAATCAAGATGTGTGATTTTGGCGTAAGTGGTCAGCTGATCGATTCGATGGCAAACTCCTTCGTTGGTACGCGGTCCTACATGTCGGTGAGTACTTGTTACTTAGTTGTATCCAGTATCCTCAATGTGAAAGGTATCCTCAATACTAACATGAGGCTGGCCATCCTAAAAGCAGCGTACTGTTGCTAATAGTTGAACTGAGTAGCATTTAAGAATGTGGCATTGTTAATGCTTTACAGAGATATCTTCATAATGAGACACAGATATTTTAGTTTTCGTGCTCGCTACGAGAAAAGGTTAAATTTATTTTAGCCAATTTAAACCATAACGTATACAATATGGTATTTTTCTGTTAATTAGAAACTTTTTTTTTTCAAATTTTCAATTGTAAGCCAATAACGTACTTCAGATAATAAACGATAATGTGCCATGTAGAAACCTATTTCAAGGTGCAACATAATATACAAAGAGAGAAAGCCAAAAAATAAAATAAGAATTAAAAAAAAGTCAACGATACTGTATAATAAGGAATAAGTTTGCAGTACAACAAAAATTTTGAACATGTTTTTAAATTTGATTTGAAAACATTGATTAAACTGCAATTAGAATATAAAAAAGTACAGTAATAAAGTGAGAAATATTGATTGGTTATTAGGTCAGTTGATAAAGTTCTTATAGTATGGCTATGCTATTTCAAGACTATTTCCAGACCATACTTAAGAAGTTATTTCAATTCTATATCCTCCCATCCTCCTGTCCTATAACAGTTCAACACTAACCATATTGGATATTATCTGCATGGAATACTGTACATGACGTTCAATTTGATTTAAAATTCTTGCCTGATTCAGTACTAAGAGTAGTGACAGGTCTATAAAACAAGTTAAATTGGATTAACTTGGAAGACGATATAAACATTGTAAATTGTATGTGTTAAGAAATTGATCAAGTCCATATTGCATGATTTGTGATGAGAATATATTTAATTTCAACATTTCATGATTAAATTCCATAAAATATGATGATCATAAAATGTGATGAACTTAAAATGGTTTCTTCATGTGGGTGAGGTGTTTCTTGTAATGAATTCTATGAAGACAATATTAAAGTAGCTTGTATTTCATTGTCATCAATATTCAGTTGTGAATTCAAAGGGGGAAGATGGGTGGGAGTGGGGGGCAGTCAGCCTGCCAGCATCCTTCTTTTAAATAATAAAAAAAAATTAAAGATTGAAAAAAAAAGAAAATTATTCAAATTTGAGCCCGAGAGTGCTATTTCCGGCCATCTAGATGTGCCGTAATCATATAATTTCAGGCCTCAGGTCCAACCATGGTGGGGCTGAGGTGGGTGGACCCTGTATCTGTGAAAGTCTCTCACTGGGCCCCCTCTTACTAATTCCTGGATCCGCCAATAAGCAATTAGTAGAGCTCCACATAGTACACTACATGAAAATTATTATACGAAGGTTGGATTTAATGCTTGAAAAAATGTCCTGAGGGCCTGAAATGTCCGAAGGAAATTTTTGAATGCATTAAACCTAACCTAAGTATAAAAATTTTCCGCTAGTGTAAGATGCATGCTCTACTAATTGATTTAGGTCAATCGCCGTCTTTTAATGTTAGCTTTGATAACCAACTGTTGTAGCAGTCATCGGTTGCTATATAGTGTATGATCAGTATACTGTGTGCGTATTTACATTTAGCCGTGCGTATGCTGATTTGTGCTCCTACACATCAGCAGTACAGTACGGATACGATGAATAACTATTTTGTAATTTGTATTGTGTTAGTAGAACTTGTTTGTCAAAGAAATAAACTTTTTTAAAAGCATGTCCAGACAGGTAAAAATCGTGAGACGATTTCATAACTACGCAAGAGTACGACCTATGCTAGTAAGGAGGCCTCAGCGGCCTCCTGCCTGGCCGTGGGCCTACATCTAATTCGTTCCTTGAGTCTTTAAAATAGGTCTAGAATATTCTTATTATAAACGTTCAGTTTGCTTAGTTTATTAGGGTTCATTGATTCAAGGAATTGCTTTAATTGTTTATACTTAATATTGAATTTAAAGTAACTTTCTTCAGGTTCTAATTAACCTTGTTCTATGAAAGTAATTACAATTCAATTTTCAACGCGTTGCGCGTTATCTTCGCGGTGACGAAAAAATGAGGAATTTTTTTTTGCACATGAACGTAGAAGAAATCAAGCCAAGCGTCCACTAATTGAAAAATTATTAGACTGTGGGGGATAGGCAAACAACATTGGGAGTTCAGTGATGACGTCACGATTGACTTACAATAATATGGTCTATGTCTATTATAGTAGACTAATAAAATGCAATTACTCATTTCCTAAAACTTTAAAAATGTATTTAACCAAATAACAGGTGTGCAGAACCAATATTTAATGTTTCTACCATACAGTATATTGGGCAACATTAGGGTTATTTTCACAATAAAAGTTTTGTGTGTTTAATGCCTTTAGGAAAATATAACTCTGACAGTTTTAACTGTCTATAGTAGGCCTGCTAATTTGCATTTTTATTGTAAACATAAAATTCAGTTGACTGTTTAAGTATCAAACATACAGTCCCACACACAATCTGTAGTTTCTCATGTGCTATTATTAGCAACACAACTAAAACCACCTTCATTATACCATTAATATTTTTTGATTGTCAAATTTTATGGCCAGACTATTTCCACATACTGTAAGAGCAAAAATACTCTGTTGCTGAATTGAATTTTTAGTTTTTGAACCATGGAAAGCAAACTTCTTTTACTTAGTATTTTGACAATAACTTGAACTTGAAAATGGGAAAATCATGATTGATCAGAATATGAATCATTTTAAAATTCTTGATTTATGGCTAACCATTGCTTACAGTATTATCCTATCTGGATTGGCTGATAGAATTTTAACCAATTGGCTCAGTAGTTAAAATAACCCATTGGTAGACCAATCAAAAGTATGGACAAAACAAATAATAAGATGACCTCAGAAACAAAGCACATAACACACATCTGGCCTACAACCAAGATCGCTGGCTTCAACAAATAGCATGACAATATCTAAGATGAAATATTTTTGTGTTGAATGGTTTATAAACATTTTTTTTTAGTATTTTCCTATTGATATTTTTGTTAATTTAGCCTGAGCGCTTACAGGGAACTCACTACACTGTTCAATCTGACATCTGGAGCATGGGTTTGTCTTTAGTTGAAATGGCAATAGGCCGGTATCCTGTCCCACCACCAGATGATAAAGAAATTGCACAGATCTTCAAGCTAAAGTATGAGGAGCCAAAGAAATCGCTTCCACCAGTGACAACTAGACCGCCAGGAAGGCCGATGGCGAGTAAGTCATGTTACTTTGTCTTTATAAGATGCTAATATCACACTAGTCATGTTTACAACATTATGAAAATTCAAATAGAAAAAAAATTGTTATAAATGTTAACTTACTTAAAGCTTTGCATTGTTTTGATTGGCTCACATCATACTGTACAGTAATTCAGCTGAGCCTGCATTATTATTATTATTTATTCTGTCTTTCTACTGCATGCACTTTCAGTACTTGTGTGCTGTTTTTCAAAGTGGTACAGTTTCATAAAATACAAAAGTTAAAAGAAAAGGAATTAAAAAACATACATATATTTAAATAGATACAGAGATCCCAATTCTCCCGAGAATTGCGGGTTTCTCCCGATTTTTGAGGCCGTCTCCCGCCCTCCCGATTTTTATTAATATCTCCCGATTTTTTTAAATATCCCGAAAATTTCACGAAAAATGTGATTTCCACGATGTCATAGAGCAATGAAACAAAATTTCTTATCTTAAGCCAATATACTATGGCGCTCGCTCAGCCATAAAATGTCATAAACAAGGCCAGGGCGTTGTTATTTAAGTTGTTTATCAAAATAACAACTCAGGGCAAGGCAGGCCTAGATCCGTGGTAGGAGAACCGCCTTGTTTATCCTCTATGTTACGATCTTTTGCATCCAGTGCCGGCCGACCTCATTCAATGAGATGGATGTCAGTTGAGTAAATAAATTTCAACAAATAGTAACGAAATTAGAAATCACATGGGAATGGATGGGGCCTGAAGTTTTCGCCGCGAAGATTTGGAACAGAATCGGTGCATAAAAATTACTTTTTCTTTCAAGTAAGCTTCAGTTCTTTAATAACAATACTAAAAAAATTATAGTTAATAGGTTTTGGTAGTAAGCAGTCTTCCGAAAAATGAAGTTTATTTTAATATCGATCCCGAAATACATGTAGGGCTTAGGCCTAGGCTCTATCTGCAACACTGCAGGGTATGTACTGTATGTGTGTTGTGTTGGGTGGGCGTGTAGATGTGTATAAGAGACAGGTACGAAGCCTACGCACAGGAACGGTATTAGGCCTAGTTACGCACGTATAGATGGAGCCTTGCGAGGCAGGATTTAATGTTTTTTTCATGGCATTATGTACCAGTTCTTATAGGCTAGACATATATAAATGCTGACTTAAAACATGTAGTTAGTATGATTTACTAACTAAATTAAAATATATATATTTTTTTTAATTTTTCAGCAAACGTGTGAATCTTGCAAGTTGCAGTTACCATAAAGGATATAAAAATATTTTCATCATTTTTACAAATTTTTATTGTACTAGATAAGGGAGGAGATGCTCGACCAATGGCCATTTTTGAGCTTCTTGAATACATAGTCAATGATGTAAGTTTTGTTTCCTTAATTCATGGGAGAATGCTGTTGGGCAAGGAATACTCCCCAGCAATAGGGGAAGGGTTGTTCATTGTGTTTGGATGTTTATGTATCTAAAGCCGAGTACTTGCTGCATAGTACGACCATCGACCATGGAATCCAGCTCCGCTTAGATAGAGTTATATGACACAACACTGTCTGCTGTTTGTCGATGGCAGCCTGAACGGATTGTCATTAAATATGATCTGTTGCTAGCATGACTTGGCGTTAAGTTCTCCATAGAATCCCGTCGGCTGAGGACTGTCGGGCTTATTGAGTACCTGGCTTTGAGATTAGTGAGGGTCCCAAATCTCTCGAGTAGCATGATTTTCCATAAACTCCTCAGGGTCTCCCGCACATCCACATTAAGCAAAAATCTCCCGGAAAGAACGCATTTCATGAAAATGCTGGCTCCAGTCTTCAGATACAGTACTTTCACTGCCACTGCCTTTTGGAACTTGCTGCTTAGACTGTTCCATAACTCTACCTTCCCTGCTTCAATTCACTGGCTTAGGCTTCACTGAAGAACTCCTTAATATCTGAATGTAACCAACAAATATACAGTATAAACATTAACTCACTATGTTTATCTTTCAGGCACCACCCAAATTACCAAGAGCTGTATTTTCAGAAGAATTTGTCAATTTCGTAGACAAATGGTTAGTAGTCTCCATTTTTTTTTTGTAGTTGTGCTTATACAAAAGTTTTGGTGTTTTGTGTCTTGCATTTAATTACACTACATGACACAAACAATATCCATTATTCTGTTAATTATAGATGGAGTGAAACTTAGAAATGACTGTCAGATTATTCATTGTGTCTTTAACTTTCTTGCTTTTTGTAGCTTAATCAAGAATCCACAAGAGAGGGCGAATCTGAAGTACCTATTAGTAAGTATTGGTCGATTGACTGATTAATTGATTTATATAAAGTTTCATTGATTATTTGTTTATTAGATTTGTATTGAATTGTATGAGTATTTTTATTCAGTAGAAAATCACATACAAAAACAGTCCATTGTAGCATATGGTGTGACTGATATATAAAATTACAAATCGAAATTATACAGATTACAAAAAATAATGTTTAATTTTAAATAAAAATTACATAGAAAAACATTAAAAATAGACAGACGATGGCAAAATTACAGACAATAGTTGCAATAGATAATATTCAAGTAAGATTAACAATTGAGTGTATACTGTATACAATTTTTTTTATATTAAATATCATATACATTATTAGTTTAATAATTAATAAGTTTTATTAAACCAAATATTTACTGATTGGTTGATTAATTTAAGATTACAGTAAAGTTGATTGATTATTGGTTTATTAGATATTCATTGATTATGAAGAAGATTCTCTCTCGAGTAGTATACCATGTTTTTTGCAATGGCTTAATTTAAGTCCTCAAATTTTTCTCATCGATTATGAAGGTAAACTAAACAATATGTTGATTGATTGATTAATTGATTGATTTATTAGATTTTAAAAACCTATTTCATCAGGGTCATAATGCAGGGGTCCAAGTTGGAAGAAGTCATTGTTTAAACAAGCTTTCATTGCTCATATATTTTGGTTTTGCTACTTGTCTCCCCGGCATACAGTGGCAGTGCTACGGTGGGAGGAGTATTTCCCCCCCCCCCAAGTTTCCCCCCCCCCCCCCCCCCCAGAAAAGAAGAAAAACCACAATTAGTCTAGGAGAAATAATAAATGTATTTTTTACATATTAGTGGACTATCTATATGTAAAATCGATTAAATAAGCCTCTGAAACCCCTAAATTGTCATGACCACGCCAACTTTCTCTCATCGGGGACCTTTCCCCCTCCCCAGATTTCAAATGCTGGTGCCGCCACTGCCTGCATAATGTCTGTAGTTCCCTGGTAATATAAAGTTATATTTTTTCTGAAACCCCTAAATTGTCATGACCACGCCGACTTTTCTCTCATCGGGGACCTTTCCCCCTCCCCAGATTTCAAATGCTGGTGCCGCAACTGCCTGCATAATGTCTGTAGTTCCCTGGTAATATAAAGTTATATTTTTTTTTGGACATTGGCCTCTACATCCGTTAAATGTTTTTTTTTGGATCTAACACCTGTAGAAAATAACTCCCTTTCACAGTATTCCTTTCATTTTTTTGCGATGGCTTAATAAATCCTCAAATTTTTCTCAGATCCACCCATTCACCAAGAAGTCTGAGGCAGAAGAAGTTGATCTAGCAGGTTGGCTTTGTACAACAATGGACCTAAAGAAAAACTCACCCTCAGCCCAGTCTGTGTAAACTCCAGAGGGCACTGTTTAAGACAATCAAATCCAGTTATATCAGAAAAAAAAATAGAGATGATATAATGTATAGGTATACATACTTATGATGTATGTGGTTATATGAGGTTTGAACACATGCATCATGTGTGATTCATGTGTGTGTGTGTGTCTCGAGTCCCTCCCTCTTGTTCTGTAGTCAAATGCTTACTAGATACATCGTATGTAATGGTTGCTGGATAGAGGGAACTCTTTGAATATGACTGACAAGATACTCTTTTATAAGTATGATTGAAAGGAAAGTGTTAGCATAATTGTATCAAATATGGTAATAAATGAAAGTAGTTAGATGATAACAAAGTGATAGAATTGATAACATGGTTGTGATCAATGATTAACAGTACCTATCCTCATACCCCCCCCTCCCTTCCCCCCCCCCCCATATTATGTTTCTATTCAGTGATATAAGAGCTTAGTATATATTATTTACAGTTTTTATGTTGATGATGGATGTAATGTAAACATTGCATCATTTTGCAATATTATGGCAAAATACAGCTTAAGATGTTGAGGACATTTAAATCTTCACAGATGCATTAAATGAATTAGAAAATAATTTGTTCACAAATACATTAAAAACCGAAATATATTTCCTTATCAAAATTGTATTTATAATTTATAATATTTAGTTAATTTATTATTATGTTTATCATTCTGTTTCAAAATGTTATTACTTTTTATAATTACAATGATACTGTAATAATATAATTGTGTGCATTGTTTTTATCATTTCTATTGTAATTCATAATATATAGATTAATGGTTTTAACTTACGATATTAGGCCTATATCATAGGCTTTGTTTTCGTAGTGCTGAATTGTACTATAGAAATAGTCTTGTTATTCTCCACGGAAACATGGCAGTTGTCACATTTTGAAGCACAAAATGATGGGTTGCACCAATGATTTTATAAGTAATAATCCATGTGTAATACAAACCTAGAGAGGGCTCTCTAATAATTTGATCAGTGAGACACTAATTATATGTCTTCCTACCATGTGAGTGTGCTTAGACATTTTTCCTGCTATCATGCAGCACCCTTTTAAGTTTCATTAGAGTAATTCACAAAATTCTTTAAAAGTAAATGTTATGCTGGGAGCAGGAGGTGCCTATGGATGCAAATTAACTCCAATAATTGGATTAACATGCTGAAAATGACCATTGGAATCGAGATTTAGTTCTGCATTCTCAATCTTCACGCCCCCATCCCCAGGCCGAAAAACAAGCTTTCGCCCCTGCCATTATTATACTGACAGCGAATGCGCAAAACCTTACTACTTTTAGAAGTTTACCAAGGTAAAACTAATACAATATGAACATGATTTTAGGCTTTAGACTCTAGGGACTACTGGAAAATTGCATTCTTTTTGTCGGGTGGCAGCAATGTCAGATTGAAATGAAAATCAAGAAAAGTGTAGAACTAAAATGTATAATATGTACTTATTATATTCTACTTGTATGTATGACAATAGATTGAATTTGGCTAAGATGAGCCTTACTGCTAATTCTTCCCATTGTTTTCCCTGTGGTCGCATTCCCTGACCTTGCATTAATTTCCTGGACATCTTATGGTTTTTTCCAAGTGAGTGTATTTCCATAATGTAAACAAATTCTGAAATATGTTAACCCTCATTTGTTATGAGTTATTTGAAAATATTATTTTAAATTGATGTATGTTTATTTAAGAATGATGTATTATTTTATTACACAAAGGATATTATTTGTATTTTATGTATTATAATGTGTGCATGGAAGTACAATATACATATATACATATACTAGTATGCATACATAATTATATATCATAATATATAATTATATATTTATATGCATTTACATGTATATATTATATATATATTTATATAATTATGTGAATAGTACATGCGATACAGATCTTTTAGTGTGAAGTATCTTAGTATATTGTATGATTAATTTAACGAATATATAAAATATTATGCACAATCATTGACAATACTGTGATACAATGCCCGATTTGTGATTAGGTATCTTACTTAGAAATGTGCTTTTTAAAATGATTTTTTTAGGTGTCAAATATTAGTTGTAATTTACAAATTCTGTCTGCTTGATAATGATTGGCATGACTAAAAAATATTTGCTGCCCCCATAATGTTAGCAGCCTTTACTGTGTTTGCTGCCCTCATAAGGGCAATCATAGATTGTATAAAATTTCTGTAGATCTTTAGATAGATGGTTATTTTTTGAAAGTAGATTAGACAAGTTCTTTGTGCTTTTCTGTTGAACTTTTCAACTGTTGCTAATATCATGCTGCCTTCAAAATATATAAATTTAACTTAATAGTATTAACTAATAATTATTATAATTTTAAATACAAACAACAATGCTTCCCAGAGTGATGCTATTACGAAAACTGTAGTATTTTACTGTAAATTATAGTGTGGAACTGACTCAGAGACATAATATCTAACAAAACAAGTTAGTACTTACTGTAGTTGGCCCATTAATGAGAACATCACTTATATAATAATAGAATGGTCCTTTTCATGACATAACTTGTATTGCATTCCATTGCAATAAATGATCTTGATGATCTTGTAGAATTATGTATAACATTGGCTGAAATAATGCAGGCTTACTACCTATATTTTATGATAGTATTTTGTTCTTGTTATAGATACCAGATAATTTTGTAATCATATAATACTTAGTCATTTATCTCTGAATAAAAACAAAATTAAATGAAATACTTGCACAAAAATGATATTCCATATATTAAATTATATTTTATTTAATCCTGATGTATGAACCAATATTATATCATGATCTTTTGTAAAACCAAAACCATGTTAATAAAACATGGTTATATACATTTAATTAAACAAATAGAATGGTTGTTAGCTGTGTATTGTACATAATTAAACATTGATATGTTATAATTATTATTTCTATTATTATGTAATGTTATTCTGTTCTAACATTGTAAAAGATTGTATGAAAGAAAGTTCAGCTAAACAAACGTCTGTCAATAATGTAATAAATCTATAAAGCATGAGACAAACTGATTTGATTTTTCTTTTTCACAATTTATCATTAATACTATTAATCATGAGTCAACACATGTTTACTCATCAAAGCATCTTACTAAAAATATCCATAAGACACATTTTACTTTATTCAGTAAATCCTTCAAAAAACTTCCGAGTAATATTTAATTTAATGGTACAGACATTAAATTGTGATCACGACAAAATAACTTGACTTAAAAAAACTTAACTGGTGACCATATATATCTAACATTTACAACAACATATCCTGTTATTTTGCTGTTATCCTGTTAAACTGCATTATGTTTTGCTTGACCAAATACTTAAAACCATTTACAACAGCCTCATACTACCATATCTTAACTATGGTATTTTAGCATGGGGTAATGCCGGCAAAGTTCATCTCAACTAAGTTCATCTTATATAGAACTCGCTTCAATTAAAATTGCAAAACTGCTCAAGAATCTCCCAATTCAAAGAAAAGATTAAAAATCTTTTATATTGTAGATAACCATTAAATAATATTATCTATTGTCAAACAGTTCCAATTATTATACTCTTATTAAGCCTGTAGTATTTATTTATTAGAAGTTTAGAGTAAGTTTACATAATGTAATTTAGAACATGTCACTTGAAATATATCTTGAACTAGTAATGGCATTTACAAAATTTCTGGCATATGCGCTAGAACAGGCATTGAGGATGATGATAGTTTTTAGTAAAATATATATTTTCTCTATCAGGATGTGAAATTTCCTATTATTGTTTTGATGCTGTAGCTATGAGACCAATTCGTGTACTACACGATTCTATTTTCCCATTCGGACATTTGTTTTACAGCATTCATTTTAGAAAGAAGCCCCCCCCCCCACCATTTACTTTGCAAAAGTGGCATCGCAAAGAAGCCCATCGAAAGCTCACAAAAAATAGAAGCCAAAGGCTTCAGTTAGAGGTTTTACGACGTTAATGATAGGCCAGCGCCTTAATCACAAAAGCTGAAACCCATTGGAGTTTTTAATTACTAGTTTTTTTTCCACATTTTATAACTAAAAAAAAGTATATATGTAGTAGGATCTCTGTGGGCTGCCTGATATTAAATTATAATGCAATACAGTAGAACCTCGATTTTACGTACGGTATGGGACCGGAGGGCGTACGTAAATCGGGGGATTCGTAAAATAGAGGTTGGGTTATAATTTGTGGTAACCTTTGACCTAATACGTACATAACGCTCAATATACGTCCGTATGTATGAACGAACGATGTTACCTAGCTGGCTAGCTAGACCAAGCCTCTACTAGGGCCTAGGCCTACGAATAAAACCATGTGTTTTTATTCATCACTTTACGATGTCATAATAAAGTGTTCAAATAAAACCGTGTGTCTAGTGTATTAATTCATCACTTTATATCTTTTATTTAAATAAAGAACATGAAAATATTGTAAGATAATACCTATAACTATACAACAAAGGTATAACTTAGGAATCCTCCTTCATGCCTATTTTAAACAACAGAGCTGTGGTGTTGTCTGGGCCTGTTGAGACAAACTAAACCCATGAGCGCTGCACTGGCATCGGTAGTTGTTCATCTCACTTAGTTCACGTGGTTTTAGATTATAACAACACGGTATTAGACTCAATCAACTTTGCTGTTTAATGAAAATACGTTGCATTATGGTTTGTTTATTGTTATAGTTTATTGTTATAGTCTTTTTACTTATGGTTGCTCTGAAAAGGGCCGTTTGTTTTAAATATTTTCGGGGTTTTTGATGACATCATCGTCGATACGAGGCGTACGTAAAACCGAGGATTCGTATAACTGGGGTACGTAAAAACGAGGTTCTACTGTACTGTAATACAACATTATATTGATCCACTACATCGTCGCACTGGCATCGACGTTGATATGACATCGCCAATTATGACCCGGATGCGACGCATACGTCAAAGGATCAATCTCAATTGTTTCAGTTAAGCTAAAGAGTTGAAACGGTCTTAACATGTTCTATGGGGCGGGCGAACTCTAGTAACTAAAAACTTTCAGGCGTTTTGGCTCCTTAGAATTGAGACAGTGGGTGTATAAGGGCGAGACAAGAGAGGTCCTACCACCCCAAGAGAGTCTCAATGGGCATCTCATCGGTCACCGTAGGGATTTTGGCCCAGTGGCCGAGGTATCACCCTTGGGAAAAATTCACTTTTAATTACGCCGGAGTTAAATTTACATGAGTGTTAAAAGACATTTAAACAGAAAACCATCATATAAGCAACTTTAATTGGGCTAGTAAGCTCATAATAGTCAAGTCATCTCTTGGTCAGTATTTAGTAGGCCTATACGGAATTTGATTAAATACAAAATGAAATGAAGTTTAAAGTAAGATCTCCGACGAATTCATTCAATCGCATCCAACTTAATTTAAAGAAATATGAATCGTTTTAGTTCTCACATTGCCAACATATCCTCATATTTTATACCATTTTAGATAAATTTTAATAATATACAGTACCCAAATTTCAAATTTTATATAAGTTTGTTTTATTTTATAGAAAGAGTAAAATTAATGTTTTGGGAGGTCAAATTGAATAGTAATTTAGGTCACTTTGTTGGACTGCTGCTTTTCCCCTCCGCCACCCTCTTCTTGTGTTTATCCGTCTTATTGTACCATTAGTACAGAAAAAAAACCAAACAAATTAAATGAAATTCAATACTCTCCAAATCAACCCCAAAAAGTACAAACATGATCATATTTCAGTAAATGATGGAGGCATACATTGCGCGTTTTTATGTAGAACACTTAACACAATTTAATTTGATGAATAGCCTATATAATTCATGAAAACCAACCTGGGGTGGATGCAGTATTTAGAGGTAGGGGGTACGTGAGAGTCCACACGATCTCAGGCCCACCATGGTTGGGGCTGAGGCGCAAAAATATTGAGAATATGCACCTCTATGTGCCTGGAAATTGCACTCTCATACCTTAAAAATTGTACAGGTACTATAATGTTCATATCAACAATGCAATAGAAAAATGATTAATACAATTCGGGGGCGGGGTGGGGTGCGATCGCACCGTTGCACTACCCTGCATCCACCCCAGGTTTAGTAATTTATGAATTACTAAAAAGGATTAAGAATAAGGAAAATTATA